GGGAGTTTAGTCCCCTTACTATCTTGCAACCAAGTAAGTTTTTCAACAATAATTACGTCAGTTACTTTTTGGATAGCTGCAAATGATGGACTGTAGCTTTAAGCAAGGTTTGTGCTCGGTCAGAATACAAGTAGTGGTGCTTTCTTCGTGCAGATTGCACAGTAATCAGTGCACACATGCGATGTGTCCCTCCCACTGGAACTCTTGCTAGTGGTCACAAAGTGCCATCAACTGTTTACACATGGAGTCCAGTTGATATCTTAAATCTTGTCGACCTGTAAGCGTTGCTCGTACATTTTTTGATAGAACGGCATGCTGAAGCTGACACAGCGCTCAATATCTGGGGTGACTCTTGATTCTACAGGCCTTGCGGTAGCCTGTTTCTCCAACTCTGGTCGGCGGAAGCTAGTGCTGTTCCGGAAGTTTTTAAAGGCATCAGAGTGTTGAATGACATTTTTAAACATGATGCCAACAGTCCAAGAGTCCACGACGTCTGTGCCTTTGTCCCAGGTCAGGAGGGACTCAGTGTATGGGATCCCCAGCTTGGCACACATCGCTGAAACGATGCCTTCTGGGTTCTGGATAAGGTCGTCAGCATCTATGATAACTGGATCAACATCCAGCTTCTTCTCCTTGACGTATTGGTACAGATCATAGGCCTCCTTGAAGGACTTCCCTGGGGGCAGTAGGTGCGGAGGTTGCTGATCAAAGACAAACTCATCCACAGATGCAGGAAGCTCAATTGAGGACTCCATCATGTTTAAGACACCATAGGTGAGCTTCTTCCAGGAGGGGAAGACCTTACTTGGATGTCGCAGCAGGAAGACATGGCGGTAACCCTCCGGGAGGCAATCATACTTTTGGTTTAGACAGTAAACGATCTCCTTGGAGATGACAAACTCCCCGCCGGGGTAATCCTGCTGGAGGGTCTCCTTGATCCACTCGTAGGTACAGATGGAGCTCGGGAAGGCGTATCCCTTGCCCTGTTCTGCCTGGCTAGCTTGAGGCTCCTCTCCGGTCGGCCTCTGATCCAGTCGGTCAGGCCCAAGTAGAAATGCAATGCTGTACAACTCATCAAAGATCTTGGCATTTGGGAGGCTGCTCAAGCACTTCAGGAGAGCTGTGGAGCATGTGCGGGGCGACGCCCAGATGATAATTTTAACAGGACCACCCATCTTCGTATCAAGTATACGGACGTTCAAGAGTGTTTTTTAATAATTGCTGCTGTCTTAATCCTAACGCTCTAGGGTATTTGGGCTAGAAATCGTGCAAAACGCTACAACATGCAACACTTGCCAAAGTGACTAGCCTGCTCAGTGTCCTTATAGAATCTAGTCTGTGGTCGTCAACTGTACAGCAGGATACAACAGTGGAATTCTTCAATGGAACTTTTTCTCATTGTCCCAGACTTGGCTGATCCGTTAGATCAAAATTCCCAAGGCAAAATGGCTCATAGTCTGTGATCACCTACTGTACAGCAGAACTCAACAATGGCACTGTTCAATGGGACAATGGCATTGTTCAATGTTTGGCCCAGTTCCAACAAGCATGACGATGATGAAATAACGGATCTCCACTGAATGCATGTACAATGGATGTCCTGTAAATGCAGTGTACTCATGCACACCCAGCTCTACGCTTTCATTGAATTTTTGAGCGACGGACTACCGTAAGGGTATTTTTGTCGGCGGCGGGTCACGTGTGTGTGAACAATTTGACAAGCCACGTGCCTGGCACAATTGACGCCAATGTTTAATCTATCATTTAATGGACAATTTAAGATTATATATCTCACGATTGATTTTTTTAGCGATTTTTGAAGAACAAAAAGTCTTTTCGTTGTAACTTCCCGTCTGATGACGTCATCGGCTTCAAACTTCACACATGTGTTGTTTGCATGAAGGTCATCATATATACCAATTTTCAAAAGATTACAGCAAACTTCGCCACAGACATCTATTCAAAATGCATTTTGGACATTTTTCAACCTGCCGCTAGAGGGCGCTCTAATATTCCATGACGTCATCGGTCACAGTTTCGAAATCAATCTCCCATTGACCCAGTGTTTGTGCACTGGTGTTGACCACTCAATGCAGCAAGGTCACACAGACCTTTACAACTGATGCACTGTGTTGTGTTTTGCAGGTTCAGGATTATTGTACAGGGTTATCAGCTATTGTTTGGCCAGGCCTGCCAGAATTGTTCGGAGGGTCAATAATTTGCTGGTTCATTTTGTTTTGTTTTGTAAAGCGTATTTACATGTTTCAAAGCAAGGCACTGTTTAATAAACAAACACGTTACCATACATGTGATTTGACAATCACTCAGAACACACAAAAACTCCAGAACCGAAAGGTATATATATGCACAGTGAGAGGAAGACGAATCCAATGGACGCATGTCAATATTGGAGCTCTGAAAATGTAATTTTGCACATGCAGTATCATGACCAAAAAATCTTGTCCAGATTTCATTGTACATTATGGCCATGTTCAGACACCGTGTTAGCTAAAACGGTAAAAGTTAAAACGGTCGCTCACCACAGGGGGGGCCGTCGTAAATATAAAACTACCGAGCGTCCAGACATCGTTTTAAGTATAGCAAGTTCAACTCGAAGCAGTTTATCTCAGTTTCTAAGGTCACGTAGAACATCCGCCTCGGCAAAAACCGCGCGCTAAAAAGAGCCTTCACTCTTCCATTTTTACAGTTCGCTACACTTGGTCTGAGTCCCTCACCGTATGTTGTGTGTTTTTTGGAAGTATCGTACATCGGCTTTACATATTTATGCACCATTTGTGTTTACATTTTGGTGGCTATTTTCTGTACCTTACGTGGTGCAAAAAGACATAAAAAATGTTCAGAAAAGTTGTTTGAAAACCAGTTTTCCAAACAAGACGTCATTGAACAGATTTTACTCAAGGTTTAATACATCAACTTGCCCGCACAACATTTCAGTCGCGTGAAAATACACGGGATATTAACATTGCAATATTGACTAATCAATGCCAAGGTTTTCCTGGTAGTTGAATATATTAGTGTATTATGATAATTATGCTCCGGTTAGCAGTTGTTGCGTTGGCATCTACGCGTTTGTCATCGCATCGTGTGTGCGAGTGAGCACGATTGAAACTCGGACCATGTGGTCAGAAAACTTGCGGAAATTGGACTTGAAGTTGGATTTTTTTTTTTTACGGTAGGAGAATTAATACATTGTTTGCTTAATAGAAAAGCGCGCCACAGAGAAGGCGTTATGTAACTCCGGGTCACTGCGTCACTCCGGGAAGCGTTTTAGCTAAAACCGTTCAGACATTGTACTAGGAGATAAACTCGTTCTGGTTATTCGCTAATAAACCCTCCCTCTGAGGGGGTTTAAGTTGCCGTTTTATTTTCGAGTTCAACTCGATTCGGTCTAAATAAAAAAGCGTTCAGACATCGTAACTCCGGGAAGCGTTTTAGCTAAAACCGTTCAGACATCGTACTAGAAGATAAACTCGTTCTGGTTGTTTGCTAAACCCTCTCTCCAAGGGGGTTTAAGTTGCCGTTTTATTTTTGAGTTCAACTCGATTCAGTCTAAATAAAAAAGCGTTCAGACATCGTTTTAGCAAGAAAGTTTAACACTGAATCGAGTTCAACCGGTGTTTTAAGGGAATTTAAGACGGTGTCTGAACGACCCCTTTGATGCTCAAACTGATGAAGGACTAAGATAAGAGTGTCAGTGAGTTGGCATGTCCAATAAAAAGTTGTGTTTCCAGGAACGTTGCCAAAATAAGTAGGCCTCAATATTTGTAAGGGATGACCCCAATTTAATTATGGGTGTGTATTTGCAGGTGTAGTACGAGGACCGGGTAACAGATTGAAACAAAAACACCGGTACCCAAGTACCCATTAAGGAAACCCAACCCCAAAATCCAAATTTCGGAAGTTGCTGTTCAGATTGTCCATAAAGGTTTGTGCGATAATACTACCATGTTGATAGTTTCGATCATTTCCAACATGTTTTGCGTGAAATCTTTTACATTGAACAAATTTGAGCATGTTCTACACTGGCTCCCTCCCTTTTCATTATTTTTCTTGCTGTTATGTAGCAATGTGAACCAATGTACCAGTTTTGCATGCATGCCGCATGTTCTTTTGCCAGGGACAGTAGTAAGAATTGACAGTTTGAATGCTTTTTTCACATATGCTTTTTTTTTTTTTTTTTAATAACTTGCCAATACAAAACTTTAAGCTCCAATAAAAACTTTAAGGTAAAGTTAAGTTAAGGTTGGCCGGGTAACCGGAAGCAGAAGTATTATTTGTTTTGTGCTAATGAACTGTTTTAAAATACAAAAGGTACATGAATTAAAATTGAAAACAAAAATTTAAAATTAATTATCAAATTAGGCATGCACATACCGGTATGTCCAGAATATTTGAAAGTACCCATGTACAACCAGGGTGATTGTTTGTGCACATTTGGAATTGCACGGCCGTCAAACAAATATATCATTGCCTTTAAAATTGTACTTAAAAATTTCTGTTGAAAGGTACAGTTCATCCTTTGTAATTTGTGCATTTTGTTCATTTGAAGCAAGAAAAGTGCTCAAAATCTAAAGAAGGGTGCTGAACAACTAACCTGATGAAGTTTTAGCTCAGCTGTATATGCCGAGATGACAGCACTCTAGGATCTCGATTTCAAATCAAAAATTGATGCAAATCATCTTTTGAATTGTGCCTGAATTCAGCATCCGAGACACGTTCTCACTGAGCCGATTGCAGCTACGCGATGTCGCGCACCGATCTGACAAATTATAGCTACCCCGCGCGCGTGTGCGTCGTATCAACGTTTGTACGTGCTTCCCTGAATAAAAAAAAGAACTACTAACGGACATTTCCAACGGTGCGTCTTAAGACGCATAGTTGGAAATGCCTCCTTTCGTTGATTTCTTCAAAATGACAGCTTGCCAGAAAGAATAATTTCAGAGGGAGTTAGTCCCCTTACTATCTTTCAACCAAGCAATTTTTTTTTAACAATAATTATGTCAGTTACTTTTTGGATAGCTGCAAATGATGGACTGTAGCTTTAAACAGGGTTTTGTGCATGGTCAGAATCCAGGTAGTGGTGCCTTCTTCGTGCAGATTGCACAGGAATCAGTGCACACATGCGATGTGTCCCTCCCACTGGAACTCTTGCTAGTGGTCACAAAGTGCCATTTACTGTTTACACATGGAGTCCAGTTGATATCTTAAATCTTGTCGACCTGTAAGCGTTGCTCGTACATTTTTTGATAGAACGGCATGCTGAAGCTGACACAGCGCTCAATATCTGGGGTGACTCTTGCTTCTACAGGCCTTGCAGTAGCCTGTTTCTCCAACTCTGGGCGGCGGAAGCTAGTGCTGTTCCGGAAGTTTTTATAGGCCTCAGAGTGTTGAATGATATTTTTAAACGCGATGCCAACAGTCCAAGTGTCCACGATGTCTGTACCCTTGTCCCAGGTCAGGAGGGACTCAGTGTATGGGATCCCCAGCTTGGCACACATCGCTGAAACGATGGCTGCTGGGTTCTGGACAAGATCGTCAGCATCTATGATAACTGGATCGACATCCAGCTTCTTCTCCTTGACATATTGGTACAGATCGTAGGCCTCCTTGAAGGACATCCCAGGGGGCAGCAGGTGCGGGGGTTGCTGATCAAAGATAAACTCATCCAGAGTTTCCGGAACCTCAGTTGAGAACTGCTTTGAAACCTCATAGGTGAGCTTCTTCCAGGAGGGGAAGACCTTACTTGGATGTCGCAGCAGGAAGACATGGCGGTAACCCTCCGGGAGGCAATCATACTTTTGGTTGAGACAGTAAACAATCTCCTTGGAGATGATGACCTGTTCGCCAGGGTAATCCTGCTGGAGGGTCTCCTTGATCCACTCGTAGGTACAGATGGAGCTCGGGAAGGCGTATCCCTTGCCCTGTCCTGCCTGGCTAGCTTGAGGCTCCTCTCCGGTCGGCCTCTGATCCAGTCGGTCAGGCCCAAGTAGAAATGCAATGCTGTACAACTCATCAAAGATCTTGGCATTTGGGAGACTGCTCAAGCACTTGAGGAGAGCTGTGGAGCATGTGCGGGGCGACGCCCAGATGATAACTTTAACAGGACCACCCATCTGTGTGTCTTGTACACAGACGTTCAAGAGTGTAATAATTTTATAGTCACTGCTGTCTTTAATAGTCCAATCCTCGAGGGTATTTTGGCTAGAAATCCTTATATACGCATCAACATGCAACACTTGACAAAGTGACTAGCCTGCCCAGTGTCCTAATAGAATCTAGTCTGTGGTCATCGACTGTAGCAGAATACAACAGTAGAATTCTTCAATGGAACTTTTTCCCATCGTCCTCGACCGGGATGATCCATCAGCTCAAAATTCTCTAAGGTCAAAATGCTTCAGAGTCTGTGATTACCAACTGTTCAGCAGAATTCAACAATGGGACTAATGCTTTTATCTATGAGGTTTGCCCTTCACCGGCGTAAAAACACTGTATACTCAGCCTTGCTTTTGTTGTCCAAGACTTGGTTGATCCATCAGGTCAAAAGTCTCAAGGCCAAAATGAATTTCAACAATGGCATTGTTCAATGGGATAAGCTCCCATTGTCCCAGAACTGGCCGTTCATGGGCTGGTGTTGACCAATGCAGCAAGGCCGCACACAGACCTTTTCAACTGATGCACCGTGTTGCATTTCGCAGGGTAACAACAAGGGTTTATGTACAGGGTCAGCTTCACTAAAAGTTACTGTCGTTTGGCTAGACCTTTGTCTGAAGGGTCGATAAGTGACACAAAAATCTTGTCCAGATTTCATTGTACATTATGATCCTCAAGGTAAGAGTGTCAGTGAGTGGGCATGTCCAATAAAAAGTTGTGTTTCCAGAAACGTTGCCAAAAAAAATAGGCCTCAATGTTTGTAAGGGATGACCCCAATTAAATTATGGGTGTGTATTTGCAGGTGTAGTACGAGGACCGGGTAACAGATTGAAACAAAAACACCGGTACCCGAGTACCAAGTAAAGAAACCCAACCCCAAAATCCAAATTTCGGAAGTTGCCGTTCAGATTGTCCATAAAGGTTTGTGCGATAATACTACCATGTTGATAGATTCGATCATTTCCAACGTGTTTTGCGTGAAATCTTTTACATTCACAAAATTTGAGCATGTACTATGCTGGCTCCCTCCCCTTTCATTATCTTGTTGCTGTAATCTAGTAATGGGAACCAGTGTACCAGTATTGCATGCATGCCGCATGTTCTTTTGCCAGCCTCAGAAGGCAATGCGAAGAAAAACTTGCTTATCCTGTTAGTATTTTAGGCCCTGTCATTCTTCGTCGACGACATAGAAATACAGACAGTGGTAAGAATTTTGTGTAAGAATGAATTGACAATTTGAATGTTTTTTTCACATATGCTTTATTTTTTAAATTTTGTTATAACTTGTCAATAAAAACTTTGAAGATCGCATCATAAAGTTAGGGTCAGCAGGGTAACTGGAAGCAGAACTATTATTTGTTTTGCCCTAATGAACTGTTTAAAAATACAAGCGGTACATGTATAAAAAATTGAAAATAAAATTAAAAATTAAAAAAAAAAATCAACTTAGGCATGCACATGTATCTAGATTATTTGAAAATACACATGTACACTCAGGGTGATGATTTGTGCACATTTGGAATTGCACGGCCATCAAAAAAAAAGAATCATTGTATGAAGCCCGGGAAGGGACAGGGTGGATTTTTTTTTTTTGAATTTCCTAATTCGTTCGCACGAATTACTAATTCGTTCGCACGAATTGCTAATTCGTTCGCACGAATTGCTAATTCGTTCGCACGAATTGCTAATTCGTTCGCACGAATTGCTATTTCGTTCGCACGAATTCCTAATTCGTGGGAACGAATTAGTAATTCGTACGAACGAATTACTGGAGTTATTCGTGTGAACGAATTGGTAATTCGTGCGAACGAATTACTGGAGTTTGCTAATTCGTTCGCACGAATTAGTAATTCGTGGGAACGAATTAGTAATTCGTTCGCACGAATTACTAATTCGTTCCCACGAATTACTAATTCGTGCGATTGAATTACTAATTCGTTCCCACGAATTAGTAATTCGTGCGAACGAATTAGCAAACTCCAAAAAAAAATTCCACCCTGTCCCTTCCCGGGTTTCATATCATTGCCTTTAAAATTTGCACTTAAAAATTTCCGTTTAAAGGTACAGTCCATCATTTGTAATTGGTGCATTTTGTTCGTTTGAAGCAACAAAAGTGCTCAAAATCTAAAGAAGGGTGCTGAACAACTAAGCTCAGCTTCAACTGTATATTTCAAGAAAAACAATGCTCTATAACCTCGATTTCAAATCAAAAGTTGCTGAATCATGTTTTGAATTGTGCCTGAATTCAGCGTCTGAGACACGTTCTCACTGAGCCGATTGCAGCTGGGCGATGTCGCGCACCGATCTGGCGAATTATAGCAACCGCGCACGCCTGTGCATCGTGTCAACGTTTGTGCGCGCTTCGCTGAATAAAATAAAGAACTACTAACGGAAATTTCCAACGGTGCGTCTTAAGACGCATCATTGGAAATGCCTTCTTACGTTGATTTCTTCAAAATGACAGCTTGCCAGAAAGAATAATTTCACAGGGAGTTTAGTCCCCTTACTATCTTGCAACCAAGTAAGTTTTTCATCAATAATTACGTCAGTTACTTTTTGGATAGCTGCAAATGATGGACTGTAGCTTTAAGCAGGGTTTGTGCTCGGTCAGAATACAACTACATGTAGTGGTGCCTTCTTCGTGCAGATTGCACAGGAATCAGTGGCATACATGCGATGTGTCCCTCCCACTGGAACTCTTGCTAGTGGTCATAAAGTGCCATCTACAGTTTACACATGGAGTCCAGTTCATATCTTAAATGTTGTCTACCTGTAAGCGTTGCTCGTACATTTTTTGATAGAACGGCATGCTGAAGCTGACACAGCGCTCAATATCTGGGGTGACTCTTGATTCTACAGGCCTTGCGGTAGCCTGTTTCTCCAACTCTGGGCGGCGGAAGCTAGTGCTGTTCCGGAAGTTTTTATAGGCCTCAGAGTGTTGAATGATATTTTTAAACGCGATGCCAACAGTCCAAGTGTCCACGATGTCTGTACCTTTGTCCCAGGTCAGGAGGGACTCAGTGTATGGGATCCCCAGCTTGGCACACATCGCTGAAACGATGCCTTCTGGGTTCTGGATAAGGTCGTCAGCATCTATGATAACTGGATCGACATCCAGCTTCTTCTCCTTGACGTATTGGTACAGATCGTAGGCCTCCTTGAAGGACTTCCCTGGGGGCAGTAGGTGCGGCGGTTGCTGATCAAAGACAAACTCATCCGCAGATGCAGGAAGCTCAGTTGAGTACTCCATCATGTTTAAGACATCATAGGTGAGCTTCTTCCAGGAGGGGAAGACCTTACTTGGATGTCGCAGCAGGAAGACATGTCGGTAACCCTCCGGGAGGCAATCATACTTTTGGTTGAGACAGTAAACGATCTCCTTGGAGATGACAAACTCCCCGCCGGGATAATCCTGCTGGAGGGTCTCCTTGATCCACTCGTAGGTACAGATGGAGCTCGGGAAGGCGTATCCCTTGCCCTGTCCTGCCTGGCTAGCTTGAGGCTCCTCTCCGGTCGGCCTCTGATCCAGTCGGTCAGGCCCAAGTAGAAATGCAATGCTGTACAACTCATCAAAGATCTTGGCATTTGGGAGACTGCTCATGCACTTGAGGAGAGCTGTGGAGCATGTGCGTGGCGACGCCCAGATGATAATTTTAACAGGACCACCCATCTTCGTATCAAGTATACGGACGTTCAAGAGTGTTTTTTAATAATTGCTGCTGTCTTAATCCTAACGCTCTAGGGTATTTGGGCTAGAAATCGTGCAAGACGCAACAACATGCGACACTTGCCAAAGTGACTAGCCTGCCCAGTGTCCTTATAGAATCTAGTCTGTGGTCGTCAACTGTACAGCAGGATACAACAGTGGAATTCTTCAATGGAACTTTTTCTCATTGTCCCAGACTTGGCTGATCCATTAGTTCCCAAGGCCCAAATGGCTCATAAGTCATAGTCTGTGCTCACCTACTGTACAGCAGAACTCAACAATGGCATTGTTCAATGGGACAATGGCATTGTTCAATGTTTGGCTCTGTTCCAACAAGCATGACAATGATGAAATAATGGCATTGTTCAATGGGACAATGGCATTGTTCAATGTTTGGCCCCGTTCCAACAAGCAGGACGATGATGAAATAATGGATCTCCACTGAATGCATGTACAATGGATGTCCTGTAAATGCAGTGTACTCATGCACACCCAGCTCTACGCTTTCATTGAATTTTTGAGCGACGGACTACCGTAAGGGTATTTTTGTCGGCGGCGGGTCACGTGTGTGTGTGAACAATTTGACAAGCCACACGCCTGGCACAATTGACGCCAATGTTTAATCTATCATTTAATGGACAATTTAAGATTATATATCTCACGATTGATTTTTTTAGCGATTTTTGAAGAACAAAAAGTCTTTTCGTTGTAACTTCCCGACTGATGACTTCATCGGCTTCAAACTTCACACATGTGTTGTTTGCATGAAGGTCATCATATATATCAATTTCCAAAAGATTACAGCAAACTTCGCCACAGACATCTATTCAAAATGCATTTTGGACATTTTTCAACCTGCCGCTAGAGGGCGCTCTAATATTCCATGACGTCATCGGTTACAGTTTCGAAATCAATCTCCCATTGACCCAGTGTTTGTGCACTGGTGTTGACCGCTCAATGCAGCAAGGTCACACAGACCTTTACATCCGATGCACTGTGTTATGTTTTGCAGGTTCAGGATTAATGTACAGGGTTATCAGCTATTGTTTGGCCAGGCCTGCCAGAATTGTTCGGAGGGTCAATAATTTGCTGGTTCATTTTTTTTTTTTTTTTGAAAAGCGTATTTACGTGTTTCAAAGCAAGGCACTGTTTAGTAAACAAACACGTTACCATACATGTGATTTGACACTCACTCAGAACACACAAAAACTCCAGAACCGAAAAGTATATATATGCACAGTGAGAGGAAGACGAATTCAATGGACACATGTCAATATTGGAGCTCTGAAAATGTAATTTTGCATATGCAGTATCATGAAAAAAAAATCTTGTCCAGATTTCATTGTACATTATGGCCATGTTCAGACACCGTGTTAGCAAGAAAGTTACACTGAATCGAGTTCAACCAGTATTTTAAGAGAATTTAAGACGGTGTCTGAACGACCCCTTTGATCCTCATACTGATAAAGGACGAAGATAAGAGTGTCAGTGAGTGGGCATGTCCAATAAAAAGTTGTGTTTCCTGGAACGTTGCCAAAAAAGTAGGCCTCAATGTTTGTAAGGGATGACCCCAATTAAATTGCTGGTGTGTATTTGCAGGTGTAGTACGAGGACTGGGTAAAAGATTGAAACAAAAACACCAGTACCCGAGTACCCATTAAGAAAACCCAACCCCAGAATTCAAATTTCTAAAGTCGCTGTTCGGATTGTTCATAAAGGTCCGGGCGATAATACTACCATGTTGATAGTTTTGATATTTTCCAACATTCTTGCATGAAATTTTTCACATTCACGAAATTTGAGCATGTTCTACGCTGGCTCCCTCCCCCTTTCATTATCATTCTTGCTGTAATCCAGTAATGGGAACCAGTGTACTAGTATTGCATGTATGCCGCATGTTCTTTTGCCAGCCTCAGAAGGCAATGCGAAGAAAAACTTGCTTATAAATCCTGTTAGTATTTTAGGCCCTGTCATTCTTCGTCGACAATATAGATATACAGACAGTGGTAAGAATTTTGTGTAAGAATGAATTGACAATTTGAATGTTTTTTTTTCACATAAGCTTTTTTTTTTTCAATTTTGTTATAACTTGTCAATAGAAACTTTAAGGTCGCATCATCAAGTTAGGGTTGTCAGGGTAACCGGAAGCAGAACTATTATTTGTTTTGCCCTAATGAACTGTTTTAAAAAACAAGAGTTACATGTATACAAAATTGAAAATAAAATTTAAAATTTAAAAAAAAATCAACTTAGGCATGCACATGTACCGGGTATCTAGAATATTTGAAAATACACATGTACACTCAGGCTGATGATTTGTGCACATTTGGAATTGCACGGCCATCAAAAAAAAAGAATCATTGCCTTTAAAATTTGCACTTAAAAATTTCCGTTGAAAGGTACAGTCCATCATTTGTAATTTGTGCATTTTGTTCGTTTTGAAGCAACAAACTTGATCAAAATCTAAAGAAGGGTGCTGCACAACTAACCTGATGAAGTTTCAGCTCAGCTTCAACTGTATATTTCAAGAAAAACAATGCTCTATAACCTCGATTTCAAATCAAAAGTTGCTGAATCATGTTTTGAATTGTGCCTGAATTCAGCATCCGAGACACGTTCTCACTGAGCCGATTGCAGCTACGCGATGTCGCGCACCGATCTGACGAATTATAGCAACCGCTCACGCGTGTGCGTCGTGTCAACGTTTATGCGTGCTTCCCTGAATAAAAAAAAGAACTACTAACGGAAATTTCCAAAGGTGCGTCTTAAGATGCATCGTTGGAAATGCCTTCTTTCGTTGATTTCTTCAAAATGACAGCATGCCATAAAGGATAATTTCACAGGGAGTTAAGTCCCCTTACTATCTTTCAACCAAGTAAGTTTTTCAACAATAATTATGTCAGTTACTTTTTGGATAGCTGCAAATGATGGACTGTAGCTTTAAACAGGGTTTGTGCTCGGTCAGAATACAACTACATGTAGTGGTGCCTTCTTCGTGCAGATTGCACAGGAATCAGTGCACACATGCGATGTGTCCCTCCCACTGGAACTCTTGCTAGTGGTCACAAAGTGCCATTTACTGCCATCTACTGTTTACACATGGAGTCCAGTTGATATCTTAAATCTTGTCGACCTGTAAGCGTTGCTCGTACATTTTTTGATAGAACGGCATGCTGAAGCTGACACAGCGCTCAATATCTGGGGTGACTCTTGATTCTACAGGCTTTGCGGTAGCCTGTTTCTCCAACTCTGGTCGGCGGAAGCTAGTACTGTTCCGGAAGTTTTTATAGGCCTCAGAGTGTTGAATGATATTTTTAAACGCGATGCCAACAGTCCAAGTGTCCACGATGTCTGTACCCTTGTCCCAGGTCAGGAGGGACTCAGTGTATGGGATCCCCAGCTTGGCACACATCGCTGAAACGATGGCTGCTGGGTTCTGGACAAGATCGTCAGCATCTATGATAACTGGATCGACATCCAGCTTCTTCTCCTTGACATATTGGTACAGATCGTAGGCCTCCTTGAAGGACATCCCAGGGGGCAGCAGGTGCGGGGGTTGCTGATCAAAGATAAACTCATCCAGAGTTTCCGGAACCTCAGTTGAGAACTGCTTTGAAACCTCATAGGTGAGCTTCTTCCAGGAGGGGAAGACCTTACTTGGATGTCGCAGCAGGAAGACATGGCGGTAACCCTCCGGGAGGCAATCATACTTTTGGTTGAGACAGTAAACAATCTCCTTGGAGATGATGACCTGTTCGCCAGGGTAATCCTGCTGGAGGGTCTCCTTGATCCACTCGTAGGTACAGATGGAGCTTGGGAAGGCAAATCCCTTGCCCTGTCTTGCCTGGCTAGCTTGAGGCTCCTCTCCGGTCGGCCTCTGATCCAGTCGGTCAGGCCCAAGTAGAAATGCAATGCTGTACAACTCATCAAAGACCTTGGCATTTGGGAGACTGCTCAAGCACTTGAGGAGAGCTGTGGAGCATGTGCGGGGCGACGCCCAGATGATAACTTTAACAGGACCACCCATCTGTGTGTCTTGTACACAGACGTTCAAGAGTGTAATAATTTTATAGTCACTGCTGTCTTTAATAGTCCAATCCTCGAGGGTATTTTGGCTAGAAATCCTGATATACGCATCAACATGCAACACTTGCCAAAGTGACTAGCCTGCCCAGTGTCCTAATAGAATCTAGTCTGTGGTCATCGACTGTAGCAGAATACAACAGTAGAATTCTTCAATGGAACTTTTTCCCATCGTCCTCGACCGGGATGATCCATCAGCTCAAAATTCTCTAAGGTCAAAATGCTTCAGAGTCTGTGATTACCAACTGTTCAGCAGAATTCAACAATGGGACTAATGCTTTTATCTATGAGGTTTGCCCTTCACCGGCGTAAAAACACTGTATGCTCAGCCTTGCTTTTGTTGTCCAAGACTTGGTTGATCCATCAGGTCAAAAGTCTCAAGGCCAAAATGAATTTCAACAATGGCATTGTTCAATGGGATAAGCTCCCATTGTCCCAGAACTGGCCGTTCGTGGGCTGGTGTTGACCAATGCAGCAAGGTCGCACACAGACCTTTTCAACTGATGCACCGTGTTGCATTTCGCAGGGTAACAACAAGGGTTTATGTACAGGGTCAGCTTCACTAAAAGTTACTATCGTTTGGCTAGGCCTTTGTCTGAAGGGTCGATAAGTGACACAAAAATCTTGTCCAGATTTCATTGTACATTATGATCCACAAGGTAAGAGTGTCAGTGAGTGGGCATGTCCAATAAAAAGTTGTGTTTCCAGGAACGTTGCCAAAAAAAATAGGCCTCAATGTTTGTAAGGGATGACCCCAATTAAATTATGGGTGTGTATTTGCAGGTGTAGTACGAGGACCGGGTAACAGATTGAAACAAAAACACCGGTATCTGAGTACCCAGTAAAGAAACCCAACCCCAAAATCCAAATTTCGGAAGTTGCCGTTCAGATTGTCCATAAAGGTTTGTGCGATAATACTACCATGTTGATAGATTCGATCATTTCCAACATGTTTTGCGTGAAATCTTTTACATTCACGATATTTGAGCATGTACCAATGCTGGCTCCCTCCCCTTTCATTATCTTGTTGCTGTAATCTAGTAATGGGAACCAGCGTACCAGTATTGCATGCATGCCGCATGTTCTTTTGCCAGCCTCGGAAGGCAATGCGAAGAAAAACTTGCTTATCCTGTTAGTATTTTAGGCCCTGTTATTCTTCGTCGACGACATATAAATACAGACAGTGGTAAGAATTTTGTGTAAGAATGAATTGACAATTTGAATGTTTTTTTCACATATGCTTTATTTTTTCAATTTTGTTATAACTTGTCAATAAAAACTTTGAAGATCGCTTCATAAAGTTAGGGTCAGCAGGGTAACTGGAAGCAGAACTATTATTTGTTTTGCCCTAATGAACTGTTTAAAAATACAAGCGGTACATGTATAAAAAATTGAAAATAAAATTAAAAATTAAAAAAAAAAATCAACTTAGGCATGCACATG